CTACCTGTATTTTATAAGGATGAAACTTAAGATCTTTCCGAAGAATTCTCCTTACCGATTCACGGTTTATGTTCAGCTCTTGAGCATGTTTTTGCACAGACCTGCTTGGACTCCTTATCAATGCTGCTCTTATTCTGGTAATGTTTTCCGGCGTTCTCGAAGTTCTAACAAGGCCTGGTGGTTTCTTTCTTGTTATATTCCCAGTTGTTCGGAACCCTGAAACCCACCTTAATAGCGTATTTCGGCTTGGAACCGTTCCACTACAATATAAATAAAAAATCCGTGGTATAAAACACATGTTATCCACGAATATTAGAACAGAAGCGGTATGGAACATAAACATAAGCAAATGACACAACTGGAATGAAATCATCCAGATGTGAAATGAAAACAAATCTCATCACTACAGTATAAATAAAAAAATCTGTTGTATAAAACACATGTTATCCACGAATGTTAGAACAGAAGCGGTATGGATCATAAACATAAACAAATGACACAACTGGAATGAAATCATCCTGATGTGAAATGTAAACAAATCTCATCACTAAAGTATAAAAGGGCCGATTTACCGAATAGGCACGTGTCTAGGGTGCAAGGCAATTGGCTTTTTTGAGGGGCGCAAAAAAATTGGAAAATTAAAAATTTTTGTGGTTGTATTTGCATGGAATTTTGGTAAACTAAACTTCTGAGAATCCCTCGCGGCTGCGTCTAGACATTGTAATTGTCTACCGCGGTTGTGTCAAAATTCTGATCTTTCCCCGCGGTCATGTGGATATTATGGCCTTCTTGCGCGATCGTGGTCGGATTCTGATCACCCCTCACGGCCGTGAAGACATCTTACATCGCCTCCCCCCCCCCCCCCCCGCGGTCGTTTGGACAAAGTAATTGCTTCCCGCGATTTTGTTAAAATGGTAATCATATCCTGCGGTCATGTGGACATTTTCATCGTCTTGCGCGATCGCGGCATAATTCTGATCATCCCTCGCAGCCTTGTAGAAATCATTATTGTATCTCCCGCGGTCCGGTGGACATCGTAATCGTCTCCCGCGGTCGTCAAGACATCGAAATCAAAAATTGCTTCAAAATTCTTGCTGCTTCCCGCGGTCTTGTGGACATTGTAAACAGAATTCGCTGTTTTATTTTGATCATATTAACCAACAGTTGGCTTCAAAGATCGAATCCTGACACTCGAATCTCAAAATTAATATTAAAACCCTGTTCGATTAGTTAATGTTACATATAAATTAAGATAGGCTACTTAATAATAAAATGTTTACCATTAAATTAAAACTGAATGACGATAATTAATCATTCTCACTAATTTATATCTGGCCAGGGGGTAAAATTCCAGGGGGTAAAATTCCGGGGGGTAAAATTCCGGGGGTAAAAATCCGGGCCGTACATTCTAGGTTTTTATAATTTGATGTGTTCTGATTAAACTCACAACAGTGAAAATATATGTTTAATTTCGCGTTTAATCCATCGAGCTGATGTCGCGAAACTCAAAAGTTCGCCGCCGGAATTTTACCCCCTGGTTTGTGACGTCACGTTTGCCCAGGGGGTAAAATTCCAGGGGGATAAAAATCCGCTACCCCTAAAACATTATGTAGGCTGATGATATGTACATATTTGTAAAGCTAATGAAGTAAGGAATCCAAAAAAGTCATTAGTATGATGGTAACAAGTTATTTTCACCTATGATTATGTATCAATTTCAGAACGTTTTGAATTTTTTGAGCATTTCGAGAAAATGGAGTGTACAGTATTTAATATATAACTTTTTTACCAAATTTGTTACACCCAAACCATTATAAACATGTTGTAGTGTATTCATTTACCTTTATAAAAATGTATAACACCTTGGGTATATCATTATATAGCATATATAGCATGGCGAACTAAGGTCCGTCTTGTACAACAATCTCTGAATGTCAGAATCGTCATTTTAGGACATGATGCTAACAAAATATAACCTTTTATGAACACTATTTCACACAATTCAGTAATATTTATGCATAATAAAATGCATGAAGATTACTGTTATATACACACACAAACTTCACTAACACTAACACTACGAACTAATAACGTATTTAGTAATAAATTGCGGATAACACCAGAGCGAACACTCACGGCAACAACAAACAATGGCGAATACACAAGACAGCTGTTGCAGTAATGACTCACTTCCGTCGTCTTCATATGTGAGCAGACGTAAATAACCCTGAGCGCAGGGCTGCCACTCTCACAATCTATATTTCTTCCTCTTCAAAATGACATATTATATGACTAGTAATAACTTACAGTGTATGTAATTCGTATTTTCCACTTCGTCACCTGACGACCATTGGCCATTTGTTAAAAATTTCGAAAACAGCTGTTTTCATAAAATCGTACCGGTTGTGCATTCAATATTTCGTTCTAAATATTACTACCACAATGAAGATAAAATCAATGGCTATCCAGTGGTACCACCCGCAACATCCCACAACGAAAATTATCCGAGCAGGGTAATGCCAAACAAGACGTGTTTTGCCAGTTCCCAAGTGTCGGCTGCAAAAGTCGTGCCGCGCCAAAAATTCATTTGATTTCTAATCGTTGTGACATTGTTATTTACCTGCTACAGGGTTTGTTTATGTAATAAAATGAAAGTTCAGAATGTGATCTTTTGAATGGTATATATATTATTCTCATCTGAGTTGATTGTAAGTGTTTTTTTTACCGCTAAACAAATTTCGGCCCAGATCGTCACCAGACGACTTTGGCCATTCTAAGCATCAACGTCAGATTGTCACCAGACGACGATCGGCCACTGCTAGGGTTAACGAGTACTTAGGTTTGCTGCAGCAGGGAGGGTAAAAAAGTTTTTTTTAGTTTTTTTTATGTTAATAGTTTTGTAAGAAATGAGTGTACAGTTGAACCTCGTTTGTACGAACCTCAATAAAACAAATTCCTCGATAAGACGAATTTTTTTTCATCCCCTTGACATTTTCGTATAGGTCAATGCTAAAAACACCTCTATACAACGTAGAAGTAATTTAAAAACCTCCATAGGACGAATTTGTTTGTGACATGGGCTAGGACTGATTACAACTCTATATCAGGGTTAGGACAGGGGGGTTAGGACTCTATACAACGAATATTCTTAGCACAAAACCTCTACAAGACGAACGTGACCTCTATAAGACAAATTTATCATAATCTTAACCTCCATAGTACGTAGTTTTCAAAACAAACAGAAGCTTGTCTCAACATGAAACCCATCCCTCCTTCTTCCTCAGTCATTGTTTGGAGAAACCTTGGAGCGAGAAGAAACCTCTATAAGAAGAATAACAGCAGCATTAAACCTCGATAAAACGACCCTCTTTATTAAGAATACCTCTATAGTACGAATTTTTCCCGTACCCCTTGAAATTCGTCTTATAGAGGTTCAACTGTAACTTATTTTCAAAATTTGATTAAAAAATGATCATAAACAACCAAACTACAACAGTTGACTTCTCCATAAGAATAAGATGGGAATTTTAGATTTACAAATTTAATCCGATCATGCTGGTTCGCGAACTCGTTCGAATAAATGTAGGTTTACACGTTTATATCAAATTTCATCAAAATCGGATCATTTTTGCTCGAGTTATTGTGCTAACGGAGACATGAATTTCAACAGATAGTGTTTTTGGCCTCTAGGGACCTCAAAACGGAAAAGTAAATCGGTCCCAGGTCCAGGTCTTACCATAAGTACTACGGTAATAGCTTATTCCCTAAATAGGAAATTCGCTAAAATCTGTTGTATAAAACAAATGTTAATGTTATCAACGAATATTAGAAAAGAAGCGGTATTGATCATAAACATAAACAAATTGGTACTTTCCTGTTAAAGGGAACATTCATTATTATCAATGATTTTCAATCGATATATCGATATTAACGAATTTAAACCTATCAGCTGACAACTACAATAAATAAATATTGTTCAGTATAAAAAAAAAATGAAAAATATTGAAATGAAACTGTTCCAAACCAACCTAACAAAACTAACCAAACTTGCTGTAACATTTAAAAATTCTGTTTAATATTCCCACATGCCTTTTCTGTAATCAAACGGAATTTTTAAAATGGTACAGCAAGTTTGGTTGGTTATGTTAGGTTAGCTTAGAGCAGTTATAATTCATAATAGATTAGATTTTAGCCTAAACAAGATCAGTTGTCAATTTGTAATGGATCGTAAAGGGAAACAAAAATATCGATACATCGATAAAAAATCATCCATAATAATGAATGTTCCCTTTAACATGAAATTACCAACAAATTACACAACTAGAATGAAATCATCCTGATGTGAAATTACAAATAAAAAAATCTGTTGTATAAAACACATGTTATCCACGAATATTAGAACAGAAGAGGTACGGATCATTTAAACATAAACAAATGACACAACTGCAATGAATCATCCTGATGTGAAATGTAAACAAATCTCGTCAATACTTTCTCCATATACTATGTAGGGGGAGAAAGTAAAAAACATAATTTATAATAACTTTTTGAATCCTAATTTTTACAGTGATATCTGTTGTACCACTTTTTTGAGAGTTAAAAGGACTATAACATACTAAATTTCAAAGAATATTGTTCAGACTATTTTACTAGTCATTTACTAGTAGTTTCAGACTATTTTATGGACTTTACATGAAAATAATGCTTAAATATCAAAATTTCTAAAAATTTGAAAAAAAAAAACTCCTGGAGATACCTTGTATTGGGTAGATCAGGCCCAATACTAAATTTCTTCAAAATCGGCTAGCAGGTGTAGTATGTAGCTCTGTACACATCCACACGACCAGACATCACTTTGAAGACCACTTTCTTTGGTTCAGGGGGACAAAAATCGGATATATCTACCCAAAACTCAAACTCGAAAATTTTGGCGAAAACTATATTTTCTGCATAGGGAAAAAAGTAAAAATAGGAATAGTACGGTACTTAATAATACTCACAAATATCTGTTATCCACAACTGCTTGTAGTATCAACGAAGGCCATCGGTTTGAATTTAAGAATTTCTTCCGATGCTTCTGTACATTGACAGGAATGTGAGTGAGATCAATAGCCCCTAAAACTTGAGGGAGGCAACTCGTGGCTTCAAAGTGACTTGCTATTTCTTCAGCTTCTTCTAAACTCGGCATTCTTAAATATTGAGGGAGGAGGACCTCATTAACTGCTTTGCAAAAACGATTAATACAGAAAAACACTGTACTGCTATGGATGCCGAATAAGCCTCCAACAAATGTATAATTTCTTTTGTTAGTTAGTTTGAAGATAGCCACAGCACATTTAGTGCCTATATCCAAAGCGCCCTTTTGAGCATGCAAGACAGCCAGTTTACTTTTTTCCAGTTCATTTACGATGCCAAGGTAGGTGTTTTTGGACATTCGGAAATGTTCCATCCAATCCTTGTCACTGAGGGAGTTTCTCGCCATTTCCCACCACCTGATAGTCCTGAACTTCTTGATATTTTGTCTAATGGGAAAGTTTGCAACAATAGTATTCATAAAGTTTGGGAACAGACGCTGGCGATGATATCTGTGTCGTTTCCTTCTAATCTCTTGTTTCTTTCTCAACATTCTACGACGCCTGAAACATTTTAACACTTCTAAGTTAAAATTGCCTAAAGGCGTAAGTTGTTTTAGCATAAATGTTCATTACATCAATTAATTACCATTCAGTGTGAGAGGATTGAATAGGTTTATTTAACACTTTTCTACATCCGTTGATGTAATAATGACACAGATGTACGAGTTATGATGTTTTAAGTAGGCATAACCTACTCAATTCTGGCACACTGTTATAACTGCCACATAGAAATATTATGGAATAGTTACTACACGTTTAATCTCTATGCTATTTCTTTATAAAGAAAAGAAGTGGTGTCTATTAATATGTGTGTTTGTTTTGGGTGTACTGTACTGTAGAGTGTAGCTGGACCAAATGATCACACATGCAGGAGCTGAAATTTCACTCACAGGTACAAGAACATGAACTCAGCCAACGTCTGCTTAAAATCTTCTAGGTCTAAGTACGTGGTTATTAAAAGTTTCAGGATGAAGCTTTTGAAGCAAATATTATTTGTCTTTGTAGCAATTTAACCTAATTGAAAACCACATTTTTTTCATCTGTATTATGTAGCCTACATTTGATTTCTTAACATTTTTGTTAAGTTAATTTTAATCTGCCAAACCTCTGATTAAATCAAACATCAAACCAAAGAAAATTGTATGAAAATAAGTGTTACAGTTAAGTTTTTTGTTTCTACAATCAATGGTTAGTTTGTAACTATTTTCTACTGTTTTTTTAAGAATCAAAACTATGTCGCAAAGTATGGGTAGAGCAACTATTTAGTGTTTTATGAACATGTTGACATATTTTCTATCAAACTTCAATAAGTTATCGTAGGAATAAAAAAACTGATACAAGAAAACTACAGCACTGTTTTTGTCAATATTTGATACCTTAGGTTTGTAAGAAAAATTGAATTAATTTACACCGTCTACAAAAACCGAGCATCTATTGAAATTGGCTAGCAACTACGTTTGGGTTTAAACACTGTTAAAATGTTTTAATAATGACAATTTAAATATAATAAATCAAATCCCAAAACACAAAGTGTAGGTGAAGATCTATAGGTACAGTACTACGATTGTTCAGGGAACGCGGCTGGCTGAAGGGTCGACCCTACTCACACACACGCCTAGGCCTTTCACACACACACACGCAAGGGTTTAGGACGAACCAGAGACCTGCCATGTGAGTCATCACTGGCTAAAAGAAATTTATCTATAAACTTTTTTAATTTTACCTTTGTTATTAAATCTGTTAATGCTTTTGACTTCAGCTCAAAATGTTAAGTAAAACGATACCAAACAATATATTTTTTGCTTGTAAAATGTAGAAGTTACGAATATTTTTTTCTACTATTTCTTTTCATAATAATTTCGTATTTGGACTCTTTCATGGAATTGAACAACAAATTTACTAACACTAAACATTTTACTGTATAGGCCTATCTAACTTAAAATGATTTGCGATTTTGAGGTAACAGATGTTATATTTCTAGAAAGTGAAGGGGATCGGGGCTTTTAGGCAATTAGGGTGATGGTGAGTGTGCGTGCGTGTTTCGGGTCACTCGCAGGTACGGCCGAGCTCCAGCCGCTTTTAGTTAAAAATCAGACTATAAAATGGGTTGTCACATAAGTGACACCCAGTTGAATTAACTTCATTTGGTAACTTAAACTCAAGTATCATAACCTAATTTAGGCTAGCAATATAAAACTTGCTTTATATAATTGAGGAGTTCAGTACAGAACCCCTGATATCTGGCCTCTGTTTTACCGGTTCTCGGTTTATCCGCCCACTTCTCTGAAACATGGGTGTCCATCTAACTTTTATATAAGGGGTGTTGGAGGGGCTGGGGGTATGGAATAACCCCCAGTGAAGAGAGGGGCCGCGAAATGTTTATCCTTAGAGGATGGCCCTTACTTCATAGGCGTAGTTTTGTTTATCGTTGATATATAATTTTGTCATTACAGATTTTTTATTCACAGTCCAATTTTCTGATCCATACAGGAGAGAGAACTGTCTGATAATTTGTTATGTAAGTTATATTTAACTTTTATGTTTTACTCCACTATCTGATAAAAATGTGATTTACATGGGGTCTCATAGAGGAGGCTCGAGCCCCCCCCCCCTTTCCCATATGGATGGACGCTCATGCTATTGAATTACTTTTATTACTTACTTTAATAAATTAAATATTAAATATATTAGTCAATTTAATAATTACTCTATTGAAGACTTCAACAAAAAATGCATAAAAATTTAAAGAGTTTTATTTAATACCATACCTAATTGTACTGTCGATACAATCTATATTGTCAAGACAATAAAGTAGGCTATTTATTTATTTATTTATGCTCAGAAGCCAATATCAAAATGTATTTCCCACGACTTACAGACACATAGTTGCACGCACTAGTCTCCTGTGACTCAAGTGCTCTCACGGCTTAAATCTGTTTGTTACCAGTACTTCAACAATTGATTGGTTATTTCCAGTGTGGTTAGTATACAATACGAATACAATAATTGCTTTGTTTTATCAACGACAAAAAAATGAACGAGAATGTCCAGTAGAAAATTACAGACCATGGTCTCTGCAAAACCATTTTGTTTGGGAATTTTAGCCTCCTCTTTTTGTTATCTAACTGACAGTGTTATTATTTGAATTACCGATACTTGCGCACTTTTTCCTATGGGCCTAGGCCTTAAAACATTTTCTGGTGGTTTTCCAAACATGTATTCAATGTAGGCCTATTTGAATGTGTTTTAATGTAGGTATTTTAAGAGAAACCAATCTCAAAAGATACTGAAACAATAGTTTTGATATTTATTCTGATTGATTACACAAATTAAGTAGCCTATTTTAGTTATTTTTTTTATATATTGGTTTATACAGACAGCGGCTCGCTCCCATGGTGGCCGGATATGAGTGGATCTATAACTGATGTTCATAGACACACCAACACTTGTAATGTATCAAGTAATAAAAGTAAAACTGTTCTGATAATGCAAGTCAATGTTTTTAAAGATGAATTCTCAGTGTATTACCTAAGGAACTACAGGTGATGACACCCCATTCCGCTACATTGTTTCAAAGTTGAGATTTGTTACGCAGTGGAGGCAGAAGACATTAATTAAGTTATTAAGACTGTTCTAGCTACAAAACCGTCAATGTAGAGCTTCGTTTTAAACTAGGCCTAATAACAAGACTACCTGTATAAGTCTTATCGAAGTGTAAAGAAGCTTGATGTACATATAGTTGGTCAGTGAAGTGGTCAAGATAAGAAATTCAAAAATCTCAGTTCCTAGTCATTTATGTCTAGGCCTACCTACTCTAAATAGCTTGAGGTAAACCCATCTCTCAAAACTCGTTTCAACTCACATAAGTTAGCAGACAAAATCATAGAAAGTTCACCAAGCTAACCTCAAGTTAAATAATAGGTTTACTACAGGGCCGGTTTAACCCATACGCAAACTACATGGTCGCATATGGCGCTACGAAAAAGTGGCACCAACGGGACACTATTTTTTTTTTTATCAAGACGAAATTGGAAACAACTGACAAGTGAACAACTTAATTTTGTTTTTGTTTTCGCTCAGAGTTCAAGTATCCAAAGTACCACACCAAAGGCATTTATTCCGTTTGTACCAACAGCACTTGAAAAATGTGTAGGCTATACTTGTACACAGCACTTCAACTCAAGGCATTGATTGCAGTTTCGATTTGTAGTGAGCTGACGCTCGGCAGCGTACAACACAGCGCCTGTGAGTTTCATTTCATGACTCATGGTCGAGATAAGCGCGCAGCGCCACTTTTGACACCAAGAAACTTCCCCCTCCCTTCTTCCCCTGATCACTCTCCCCTCCTAGAGCAGAGCAGTAGTTCCTACGTTGTATTGCACTCTTAATTGAATATTCTGTATTCTTTTTGTCAAGGTAATAGGCTACTTTAATTTGGTTTTTCATGGTTTCTTCAAGTTTAATTGATTCAATTAAAATTTCCTCTCTTGTCCTTGTTGACCTGTTTTTCCTTGTAATATGCTTTATAAACTTATATCGTATCCATGTCATCCTGTAAAAATGTATTTCTCATTTAAAAATAAATGGATAACTTTGGATTTTTCTAAAGTGTATATAATGGAGTAAAAGTGTAAAAATGTTAAATTTCTGTGGATAATAAACAGTAGTTGAAAAGTCTTTAATTGCAAGTATTCTTGTAGCCTAAATTTAAAAAAAGTTCTTCCAAAAAAATTTTACAAATAGGGTTAAGTTATGTTCATGGGGGGTGGGGTGGGGGGGGGGAATTCTAGGTGGCGTTTATTCGGGTGTTCGCTTAACTCTGAAAAATTCCTAGAACCGGCCCTGGTTTACTAATCGAATCAATAGTTTCAATCGGTACGGTATTACTATACAGGCTAGGTCCGCAGGTCCCCCGGCCCTCTCGATGGTGATTAGAAGTGGATAGGAATAATTCGGATTTGAAAATCAGTTGACAAAATTCGACCTTAGAATTCAATTTTTTTTACACTGCGCATCTATAAAGCAGTAACATTAAGGTCAGCTACGTATATGCCTGCGTTAACGCACGGAAACAAGGCTAGCACATAAATCGAACTGTAAAAATGTCTAACACATGAAAATTCAGAGAGTACGGCTAGCATTGCACAATCACAGAAAACGTACTACTATAACCCAGAATGCCAACCGCATGGTAAAAAGCATTAAGCGTTTTGAGAGAGCTTTGCCTGTCAATACGTAGGCAGCGCCACCAGCGTTGCTATGCTAATGCATGGCAATGCTGGTGGCGCTGCCTACGGATTGACAGGCAAAGCTCTCTCAAAACGCTTAATGCTTTTTACCATGCGGTTGGCATTCTGGGTTATAGTAGTACGTTTTCTGTGGCACAATGGACAATTCAATGTCAGTCAACCATCTAAACTGCATCGTCTTGCCTAGAAAAAAAAAATTTTTAAGAAAGGGCATTAACAGTATGCTCTATTGGAAAGACAATTCTATTTGAAATTCATACTTTTATTAAGAACATAATAGCTTTGACTATTAATACAACAAGACATTCCATCCCCATATTAATTTTGTAGCCAGATTTCTTAAAGTTTATTATTTTAGTTAGTAAAAAAAAATCTCGGCTACTAAGCCCTACTAAAGATGTATCGTACTGGTAGCCTATTTTGTCAGACTCAGCCGAATAATTTAATCGTGTTCTTCAAGAAGGCCTACTATACTCCGTTCAAACAGCCGTGGCACCTGAGGGATTAGGAGGCCCCAAGGGTTCCCATGGGGACTCCTAATCCGTCAGGTGCCACGGCTGTTTGAACAGAGTATAGGCCTACGTGGTATTTAAAAAGAGAGCAGGTGGAATTTAAACAGCAATATATAACTTGGTTATTTATTAATGGTAAATACAACCATAAACTAACCAACAAAAGTGGGCCTCTTGACTTTCTAGTAAATTTTGAAGGTCTTTTTTCGAGTCTAGTTGGTGACACTGATCAGTGTCGACGAATTGTTGTTCCTATTATTTAGGGTTATTTTTGTGATTTTGGCTTTACTGTTCGGTTATATAACTAGGGGACGAGTTATTGTTTATGATTACATCATTTAATTTGGTTAAAATTGAGTTTTTAAATTGCTGAAGTAACAAGAAACACATTGTTACAACACACGACCAATACAGTACACTGGACACAACTAACAGCAATATTAATTGTCCTCATTACTCTAAGGATGAGAAATCTATGGAGCATGTTTAGCCTATCTAGTTAAGTTATAGGCTACTTGCGTTACACGATTTTTGGCACATTTGTGAGTAAATGTTCAGCTTGTAGACAGTGCTTATTAATTGTGAATGTGTGTGTAATTTTTGTGAATATTCCATGTGTTATGACTCATGTGTATTTATAGTTCAATATGTTTGTTCCTTCTTAGGCCTACTGATTATACAATTTTTGTCTTGGTAACTTAGTATTATTTTTCAAATCTCTATAAAATCTCTTTGTGATTATTATTACCACACAAATAATGTTGACACAATTTATTAACTTTGGTGTGAATAATACTAAACTTTAATTTGAAGTAGGCTCTACCTACGTTATAACACTTATATTGACACTTCTGCAGTGTGTATTGCATTGTTGTAGTGTCCTAAAAATAATTTATGTTTTTAGTTTAATAAATAATAAAGTTGATTTTATTAATAAATAATAGGCCAAGTAAATACCCTAATATTTTGTAAATGCCAAACTAGTGAGAAAAACTCGTGTACAAGAACCTAATAAAAAATAATCCTCCCGCAGAGGGCCCCTTCACAGCATGTAGCTGAGGGCCCCAAATGGTCCCAGTCCGGCCTGTTACTATAGCCCAGTTAAGAAACTGTACCCTTAAGGTTTTATTTTCAGTAAAGCAAAGAGTAATTTTACCTTCTAATAAGATCCCACGTATTAGTCATAATAGTTTGAATAGCATTGTTCCTCGCAGCAAATAAAAGCTGAATTGCTATCATAACCTCCGTTGGTAAAATAAAATCACTTTGAGCAAATTCCATTTTCTACCAGTCCGTCCAAAGCATTTAAAGAGTTTTGATTTTACAAGTCGTACATTTTAAATAATTAAAGTACAAGTAAAAAGTAAGATACAAACGAACGAAACTCAAATTCAAAATATAAACTTAAACATTAGTGCAGAGGCGGGTAGAATTTGACAGTCGGTGACTTCGACCATTGACTAAGGAAACAAATTCGACCGACTTGGTCTTGGTCTTGGTGTGTTTGTGTGTTGTGTTGTGTTTGAACTAGTCTGAACCGAACTGACTGAAATGAGCTGAAGTTCGATTCCAAGTTGGCTGACGAGACGAGTGGGAGTGACAACGACCTTCTGCTTCTGGTTATGTTCTGACCCTGGCTAGTAGTGGCTGGCGCGGCGCCGCTGGCACTTTAAATACAGGCCGCGACCTGGTAGAATTGGCAACGTCGCGTAAGTGGTGTTGTTTAGTATAGTGACAGACGTCCCATAACATAACATGGCAGACAGGTGACATCTATGAATATAAATTTATTAAAATATTGAAAATAAAACATACAGAATGGAAAACCGAAACAATATGAATTAAAAATCTAGATCTGTACATTTTAAGCGGAGTTAATATTGTCATAGTCCAGTAACCAATCTTTCACAAATACACAAATACAATAAGTTACCATTAGCTGCTTGGGCTGCTTCCAAACAAAACACAACACCACTACTGCGACGTTGCCACTTTCGAAGGCTGCGGAAAGGCGGCGGTGAGGTATGTCGACTAATACTTGATCTAAACCACGATTACTAGAAAAATATTTTTTTCTAGTATATTTTTCTATAATATAATACTTTTCTAGTAATCGTGATCTAATAGAAAATGCAATATCGAGAACCGATATCGACAAAATTCTTCCGATATCACGATATTATCGAAACCCCAATATCGATACATTATCGGAAATATCGAAACGAAAATATCGATATGCATTGATATCGATAGTATCGCAATATCCCTTATGTTCGTTCATTCATGGTATGATGATAATTTTGGGATTACAGATTATTACAGACAGTACTGTCACTACTGTCAGTTCCGTTTTCAGTTTCAGTCAGTACTAATCTTATTGATAGTGAATTCAGAAGTATGTCAAGAAATTTTCTGTGTAAAATTAATAACATTCTCTAATTGAATTGATTCAGTTCTGTGCCTGTGCCTTCTTTTAATAAAGTACTGTAATGTCTGACAAAAACCTACAAAGTGACATTGATACCCTATTACCTGCTGAACTTATTGTTGGGTTGCAATTGTTGATTGCTGCGAGGAATAATGCCATACAAACAATCATAAGGAATACATGGGATTTAATTAAGAGGTAAGCAAGTCATAGGTACATAGGCCTACCAGTAAAACTGATATCCGATTCCATTGTAGGCCTAGGCCTATTATTGATTGTTGTATATGTAATAGGCCTAGAATAACTTAGATACCTAACTTACTGAAAGCTAGATTATGGATATTGTTACCAATTGAAGTTGTAGGCCTAGGCCTACTTATATTTTCGATTAAGTTAGGCCTATCCGATGGAGTTGGATGTTAAAGTTTCGCTGACACAACAACATCTGTAAGTTAAAGCTATTCATACAGGCAAGAAAGTCGCAAGTTTCCTTGGGTTAGGTTAGGCCTACCCAATTTTACATAGTATATCTACCAATTGCGCAGCATTTTTGAAATTATTATTTATTGTGTTTGTAAGTTATTTTAGTAGGCCTAGGCTACTTTTACCAAAGTGCATAAGTTAAACAGTCTGGAGATAATATAAATCAACAACTCGATTCATTATAACCTAAACTTTAACTTCCCTAATCTAACCTACCTTCAAAGGACTTAATACAGTCACGAGTCAACATAACATCCAACCTACCAACCTCACATGTCTTTTAAACTGTACGAGAAGTTTGTTTAGGTTAGGTTAGAATAGTTTCAATTTTTTTATTAAAACTGCCACTACCGGTACACTATTATCATAATGGAACATAACGGTTACATGGTCAAAACCTTAGCTAAGCCACTCGGTTAAGTGAAGAGAAGTAAATGAATTCCTTCTTCAATTTTCATTATCCAGTCCCCAGATCCAGATTAAATAAGTATGTCTGAACTAGAGGTGTTTATTAATGTTAATTAATTTTAATCAAATACCTAATAGGCCTACATAAGTTATAGCCTACATAAATTAACATCATTACCTTTCTAAGTGTGGGTTGTGAGGGTAATATTTACATTAAAATGGCACATAATCAATCAATAAATGTGAATTGTGCTTATTAACTTCGATTTTACAGTGTAAACATTGTTGGCTAGTGCAGATTCAATGTTCCTAATAAAACATTAAAATAAACTTAAAAAATCGTAGTAAATTTAGTTTTTGTGGCAGCAGAAATATTTTTGCACCATTATTTTCAGGTGAAAATCTAGTTTCTAATGATATATAACTTACTATAGAACGCTTGGTCACCCTCAAGTAAATAATTACCAATTCGGTAAATGTCTTTCTTAGTTAACTTAGATAGACATAACGGAATGATCGATCATCTCCAAGAACACAATTTTACTATTACGAGCTGTTATAACTTAAGTGCTTTGCAACGAGAAGAAAGTGTGACCTAGGCAGCCGCTACAGAGTATTTAAGTGGTGCTGATTTTTACTTTCTCCCCCTATAACTTACCATAGTATGTGGAGAAAGTATTGTTTTCGACAAAAATTTCGAGTTTGAGTTTTGAGTGGACATATTCTTTTTGGGTCCCCCTGGACCCAAAAAAGTGGTTTTCTAAGTGATGTCTGTGTGTTTGTGTGTCTGGATGTGTACAGAGCTAGGGACTACACTTACATTCGATGAAATTTGGTATGTAAGTTCTAATCCATGGTATCTTTAGGAGTTTTTTTCATTTTTTTTAAATTTTGATAAATGGGAATTTTCCCATATAAACCCATAGAAAACCGGAAAAATCTGATTTTCTAAAAAATGGCCTGAACGATTTTGATAAAAATTTAGTATGTTGTAGCCCTTTAAATTCTGAACAAAATGGTACCAATCCCATTTCTGTAAAAATTACCGTTCAAAAGTCATTGTAAATTAAATGTTATTTTCCCATATAAAAACCCCATAAAATAACAAAAAATAGGATTTCCAAAAAAGTTGGTTTTGCTGTAACATAGTATGTTATTATGGCCCTTACAATTTTGATAGTTTTTTTCATTATTTACAAATTTTGATTTTTAATGGGGGTTTTCCCATAAAACTAAAACCCCATAAAATAACGGAAACTAGGATTTTTCCAGAAATGGCCCGATCGATTTTGATAAAAATTTAGTATGTTATACCATAGACTAACCAACCCAAGTAGACTTCTCATCCCATTGTAAATTTTGAAGCACGTTTTTCGTGTCTAGTTCATGTACAAGACACATGGGCGCTAGTGTCGACGAAACTTTGTTTCTATTATTTTAGGGTTAATTGCTTGATTTGTGCTTTACTGTTTGGTTATATAACTAGGGGACAAGTTATTGTTTATGATTAGAATCGTATTATTTGGTTAAACGAGGTTTTAAATGGCTGTAATAACGGGAAACAAATTGCAAACAAAACACTACCTCTACATAAACCGTACAGAACTAACAATAAAATTGTCTTCAGCTGTTCCATAAGGAAGAGAAATCTACTAAGGGAGTATGTTTTATCTATGGTTATACCTAGTCCTTTAAAAATATTCTGAACAAAATTGTACAAATCACATTTCTGTTAAAAATACGGTTCAAAAGTTATTGTAAATTATGTTATTTTCCCTTAAAAAAAACCCATGACATAACGGAAAAATCTGATTTTCCCTAAAATGGCCCAAACGATTTTGATAAATATTTAGTATGTTATAGTCCTTTAAATTCTGAACAAAACTGTACAAATCCCATTTACTCTCACCGCTTACACATGATAAAGGTTGTTGACAATCTTATGGGAGAAAGTATGTGTCAGAATGCAGATACCGTTTATTTGTTCTTAATTCAGTTTATTCTTAATAGCCTACTGTTGAGGGTCCGTTTTTCGTTTGTGTTCGTCCTTTTATTCTTTGAATAAAAGGATATTTATATTGTTGTAAAAGGAAGGAATAATTGTTGTTCTTGTTATGTATTTGATTTATTTTTGCTATTTACAACTGCACGTAATACGTTACGTTCGTCCGTAAGTATTAGGAACAAACTTTATAGCGGACTCAGCTGCTATTAACTCATCAAAAATACCAGATTTATCGTTTTTGGGAAAACTGTACTTCAAACCTTTGTTTAAGAGATCGTTTTGATGTTTGTCAAACTGTATTTCGGTTTTCTTAACTAATCGTGGATAAAATTCAAAATCAAAAACTAGGATTTCATCTCGGAATAAACTAATAGACAATAACGCCATACTCACAAAAGCCGACAAAGGCAACTCCATTGTTATTTTATACTAGACTGAATACATAGATAAGGTAACCCGTTTTATCAATGATAATGGCATCACCCTAATAGATAAGGATCCAACTCTCAAATACACCAGTGTTATCAACAAGGCAATCAGTTCCAGTAAGAATCTTTTGAGACCCGAGGAAATTAAGATCCTAAAAATTATGAACCCTTCAGTACCGTCCTTGAGAGGACTCCCAAAAATTCATAAACCTGAAGTCCCAATACGCCCTCTTGTAAATTTCACAACTGCGCCGGCATACAAAGTTGCTAAAATACTCGACCAAATACTTCGATCATATTTTGAATTCACAGACAGCCATAGTTTGAAGAATAGCATAGACTTAGTCGACAAAACAAAAAACATAGAAATAAAAAATCATCACAAGCTGGCCTCTTTTGATATCATCAATTTATACACTAACGTACCCATTCATGAAACATTGCAACTAATCGATAACCATCTGAAGAATACCCAATCTTTAACATCTGAAGCTAACCGAATTGATTAACCTGTTAGATATTACTCTAAAACAAAACTACTTCAGCTTCGACAACAAATTTTATTTCCAATCTGACGACCTTGCTATGGGTTCCCCTCTGTCAGGAATTTTGTCCGAAGTATTTTTGAACCACATAGAGAACTCATATATCCTTTCAGAACAAAAATAAAATAAAATCCTGTTCTACTATCGCTACGTTGATGATACTCTGGTCTTATTTGATGGTAATGCTCGCCAGCTGCAGTTGCTAAATAATTATCTTAATAGCATACGACCGAAACTGAATTTGAGGGCTTATCCCAACTCCGCGCGGTGGTCAGAAATATGTCAATTAAAACCGACTGTCCAACCCCGCGCAGTGGTCACTTCGGATCCCTCGCGGCACATGTCCAACTCCGTGCGGTGGTCAATTTTGGCTCTCAAAGCCCTGACGCATGTGAGTTTGTATTTGAAGTTTGAAATTGTTACATATATTAAATTGTCATATATATTAAATTGTCAATTATCAAAGTCAAATAAAAGAATAGTCAATTTCAGTACATCATTTCAACCACTATTTATTTACTCATTTTAACATTAATAAAAACATGTGACATCCCTAGAACGGCCAAACGACTTTTTTAGTCGTTGGGTAAGATGGTGGCCAAACAACTTTTTTAGTCGTTTGCTACAGACTTTTTTTCTAGCAAATATTTGGAACTGATAATATGCAGTAATCACAACACGGATTATACCATTAGAAAGACAATCAAATGAGCTACAATTTCCATACATTATATACACATTTACGTCAACTAATAACGCAGGAAAAGTAAATAAACAAAACACATTTGAGTTTCGCGCCTCGCGGGCTTTATCGATCGGGCAGCAAAGGCAAAATCAGCCATTTTCTAAAATACGTGGCAAAGCTATTCTACGTCGTAGATGATTTTGATTGGTACCACTGAATCCAGGGATTTTTTCTCTACATTCTGTCCGTTGATAGATTTTGTCTAGCATTGTTAGTTTACAAGCTGTGATTTTTTTACAAAGCCTCTATAAACAAATTGCGTAAGAGTTTTCTATATGGCCAAACGACTTTTTTAGTCTTTTGGAAAACTATTTATTACTCTGCATGTATTTTGACGAGGAAAAAAAGAAACATATGAAAATAAAGGGGAAGAAATCCTCTTTCGAACCTACTATAGTTGAAAGTTTCCTTCAGTGATATTTTTGTTTTTCTCTTTGGTCAAAATGATGCAATGTCCAAATACCTGTCGCGCCGCGGTCAGATGTTTTTATTATTTGGGTGCGTGCAGCTGTTGGTTTATAAACTAAACATTTATTTTTGATTCTATAGTTACCTAGTATACAAATCTTATTATTTTGCTAAAT